TGGAATTCTATAGATTCTTTGTTTTCTACAAGATAAAACAAAATTCAGCAAAGCACACACTGTGTTTACATGGGCAACTGATTACAGATTTCTTTGAGCAGCCAATTGTAGGAGCAGAGCCATGGCCATACTGGGCTCAGAGATGGTGTTCTCATGTCAGGGTAAATATCTGCCAGCTGGACATGTAGCAGTAGCTGATCTGGCATGTGTTCCTGTGTCCACAAAGCATGACACAGCCACACAAATTAGTGTTCTTCCTCTGCAACTTTTCCACGGTAAAAACAATTTGACTTTCACAGAATCATGGAAGCTGAAGGTGGGAGGGTCTGCTAAGTCAGGCTGTCCATCTCCCTACAGACCCACCAGTTTTAAAGCCACTTGCTTTAATTCCTTCATTTTCCAAGAGAAGAACAAAAATAGAGTAAGTTTAATGTAGTTAATCATCTTTTGGAATAAATGCTGAAGGCTTCTGGGGGACAACTCAAAGCTGAGTTACCCCTTCAGTAGGCAGAGCCACGGAGGAGAACTCCTGTGGGTGCCCAACAGACGAACGTGCCTCAAGCTCCCAACAACATCTGTCTGTCTGATGCATTTTACATAGAGAAAATAGTTCTTTACTGCTGCTGTTTGGTATGCCAGTGATCCCAAATTTCCCATTAATTGAGTTTTATAGCTCAGATATAGTCTGGAAGGTAATTGCACAGGATTGCTTACAGTGATTGCAGTTGCATGTTCACATGGGTACTCAGGTAGGCAACTTGAACCACTTGCAAAAACAGGCACGGACCAGGACACAAAAATTGTGGAAGGAATTTCTGAAGTCTGGTTTATGCTACTGAAACACACACAAACACACAGGCATCTCCTGCTTCTAGAACTCAAAGAGAGTTGAACATGCTCAAGAGTTCAGCAAAGCATTAAGCAGTGTGTTTCAAGACCAAATCGCTTTTGCACATTTTAAACTTTCAGTGCCGCCACTTAACTAATTTCCTGGTACAGGAAAGCATTAGCCCTTCATTATCCTCTGAAAATACACATCATGTGGCCCTTAGCCATTGGAGCAGAGAATTACAGAACATAAGATCCCACATCTCCAGGTCTTCACTTGCAATTTTAAAAATACTTCAGAAGACACATTATCTTCAACTGTTCTGCCAGATTATATGAAAAGAGGCAAGCATACAGGAGAGAAATCACATAGGGTTTTCATAGTGAAAATACCTAACTTAACAGCCAGAACAATGAGTTTATGAAGGCTGTGGTGTCAATGTATGTATGAAGCTTCTATCTTACTCTTGGCATTGGATCTCCTCCTTCCTTGTTCTCCTGTTGCTTCCAGATTCACTCATTAAAAAACAGTAACAGATGTCCTTCACTTGTACCAAAAATGCCACCTCAAAATGCCTGGATATAAGAGGGACAGCTCTAACTGGTTTTGGTTCAAAGTAGGAACTCCCTAGGCTCACTGGACCAAAACTCCAGCCTCTCTATGGATAGCAAACTCACCACAGCTCCACTTTCCCTACTAACCCTCCTGCACCCTGTGCTGGTCATTGTCCTGTCCCCACTAGATCTTTCAGGAAGAAGTGGGACATTATTGAGCACACCTCCGTAACACCAACTACCAGTACAACTGGGGTGGAGTGGGGGCCGCTTCCTACACAGCTGTGTCTGGGATGTGTCCTGTAGTCCATCTATCTGCCACCTGCCAGTGGCTTTGTGCAGGATGGTTCAAGCAGACCTTTCAGGCACTGCAATGTAATTGCAAAGGGAGCATATGTTTGTTTTCTTGTCTTCTCCTTTGTTTTCCTGACTCCACAAGTTTTCCATGGATTTTAACAGCCAGAATTTCAAAAGGCTAAATGCCAACGGAGCGCTGTGAACACCAAAACCAGATGTGCTCTCATATACTGTGGGAACAATTAAAAAGACCCTTTGAAACCCCGTTCTTGACAGCTTTGATTGGGATAAATAAAGGAGGTTTGCTAACTCGTCAAGTTTCCCCAGCTCCCATCCCAGCAGTAATTATTACAGTGTCAGAAAGTACATGGCCCCAGCATGCTGCTCACATTTTAGCACAGGAGACACCATATGTGTGCATACTAAGGACAGATCAGGAAGTGTAATTTAATCTAAAGTGCGTTACAAACTGAGCTGCACTTTTTGGTCCACAGTGTCTATCTAAAAGGGAGAAGATTCGAACAAATACCAGACTGTATTCATGCCATATGAGAACTGAGGCCTAGAACTTGGGTGTTACAGATGCTCAAGTCACTGCAGCTTTCACTAATTCAAACAAGTAGATAAATATTTGAAAGAGCTCCTTTAGCATTCCAGACATAAGAATAAATACACAGAAATGGCAACATTTGGAGGGAATAATCAGTCTAGAATACAGTGTGCAGAGGTTGGCACTGACAAGATTTCTCCTGCTTGCATCAGTGCAGTAACGTGGGGCAAGCTGTTAAGATTGTTGTGTATTGCAAAGAAGAGGTTCAAGTATCAAATAAGTAGTAACAACAACAGCAACAAAAATCCATCCCTATTTCTAACATTTAATTCTTCTGTTTCTTCAGATTCTCCAGCCCTCTACCCATCATGGTGGAGATCCTTGACTTCAGCCCAGATGCCATTCATTGTTCTGGCTCCACAAAACACCCAGAAGATTGTTCCAAACAGGTGGTTCAAATGTCTTGGCATGGCCCCAGGTGCCATCCTGTCTTAACCTTTGCAGAGATGGCAGGAGAGCAGCCACCATAGATATTCTCAGCAGGGCCCTTGTAGAGTCTCAGAATCAGGAGGCATGAAGAGAGTGTCTTGAATCCCATCAGTGTCTCATACAAGTGTAATCAACAACAGAGTCAGATTGACTCCAATAATTGTCACGCTCCTGCTTCAGAAACAACCATCCATCGTGCTTTCCACCACAAAATAGCCTGCTTGTGGCACATGCATTCCCATTTTTCCAAATTTTCAACAATATTCCTGATTCCAACTAAAACTCCATTAGTCTTCAAAGCTATTTCTGACTTGTGTGTTATGACATTATTTCCTGCTTATGACACAGTAAGAGTCAAAAATGTTTCAAAAAATCCCTGGGATTGTTTACAAGTGTGCCTGGGAAGAAGAGGAAGACAGATCAAAAGGGAAAACCTTTTTTATGTCTAGACATTTCTGCATGAATAAACATCATTATGGTGAAATGCACACCTGCATAAAGGGTAAATTCTAGATGATTGTATTCACACAGGTTGAAATTAATCTCCTTGTCTGAACTTGTCCAAAGGTCTCTGCATACCTATAACCTCTCTAAATGCCAAAAAGTACAACAAGCTTGTTTGACTTTTCTTAGCATGAAGGCAGAGCCTGGAGAACTCTAAACTACTAAGAATATAAATAAGAATAAAAGAGGGAAATTAGGACAAAGCTTTCCAGTATAAGAATAGGAATCCTAACCAAATTAAAATACTTTTTTCAGTAGTATTTTGTTGTTATATTTATTTGCCCTTATGTTACACCATCTCATTGATGCCAAAGCAGTAAACCTGGAAAAACATCTACATTTTGAGTGCAATGGAAAATTTTCACTCACATGGTAAAGTAAGGCCTTTCATCATTGATGTTAATTATATTTACATTCACTGTTTTAGTTGAGTTGAGTCCATCCAGATCTGCCACTGTTACATTTAGAAAGTAACTGTTAAATAAGAAAACAAAACAAGAATTGTTCTATGGCTATGCAGGAAAACATTTCTCTGACTACTGTAAGCTAATAGGCCACGTGAATAAAATACATTCTCACCAATGTGGATCTTTCTCATAATCAAACTCTTTCGTAGAGAAAATGGCTCCACTTTCCGTGATCAAGAATGGCACTGTTGTAGGGAGCAGTGAATACTGAAATAAAGAGAGTAAGGAATTAGTCTTTGAATATTTAAACATCCCTTAATTCATTCCTCACCTTGTAGAATGGGCCAAGTTACAGTACAGCATTTGCCTCAAACTGCACAGCGAAATTCTGACACACAGATTGCACAAGCCCTGATCATCACACCAGAACAGCTTGACCTTGGTCATAAGTGGTTTGCTTACAACCAGTGAAGAGTCACAGACACCAAACTACATCAAAGGTCATACTGTTCTCTACCTCTGGGAGCTCCAAGTCTGCAATTAGAATTTCATAGAGAGGGCAGCCAGCAGGGTCACAGCAGCACAGGAGATAAGCAGCTTTGTGGTGGCAGCAGAGTGCATGCACAAAGGACAGAGAGAAGGGGCAAGGCTAGATTTGTGGGACATAGTTGCTCTGGAGAAGGCAATGGCGTTTGGAGATCCAGATGATGGGAGATTGCAAGGAGGGGAGAGTGGCTTTTCACGGAGTACTTACGGGGGCGAAGCTGGAGAGTGGCCACAACAGCCCAATGCTAACAGAGATGGCACATAACAGCAGTGACATTGCACAACACAAATGGGTACCACAGCAGTGCATGGGTGCAGGAAGAAGCAGAGCACCCCAACACCATACACAGCAGGGAGAAAGGCAGCACCCTGCTCCCTGTGGAGATGTGGCAGGCATACCCACCACATCCTGCTTGCTACCTTCACATGCCAAGCCAGCAATAGCAGCCCACAAAGACATCTCCTTTAGCAGTGCAGGTGTTAATAATACCCATAAAATCTGAAGTATGCAAAAACAGAGTAACCTGCAAGATGCACTGAGCAGATCTGCCTGAGGATGTAACAGCATTTCTCTGTTTGCCGCTTCTTATGCCTGAGATGTGTCAGCTTGCAGAAATTACTGCCATTGCTTTTATACACAGAGCAGAGCTAAACCCCCACAGCTCTGCTTCTCTCCTCGCCGGCTTGGGTTCAGAGATTTGACTGGGCAAAGCCTGAGGATGGACTTCAAGCTAATTGCTTTCTTGAATAATGTTGCACATTGAAGAAGCATTTTTGGGTTCAGTTCTTGAATGTGCTGCATTTATTGGCTTTGTAAGGTAAAGCCCATAGACCAAAGATACAATACAATTCTTAGGTAAATGCAGTTACTTTTTCCCTGTCTGCAAACAAACTTAGTATTTTCCAGACTTTTTCCTGATACTGAGAGTATTTTCAGAGCAGCTAACACATTTTTTGTAACTGAAGGTCACAGTTTGCCCTGGCATTGTCAAAAACCTGAGATTCAGTTGCCTTGTAAGTGATTTCCTTACAAGGAAGGCTAAGAACTCAAAATACAATTTGGGTCCAAACATTAAGGCTGGATTTTCTTAATTTAGTATTGAAAATGCTTTTTTTTTCCTGACTAAACCTTTTCTTGTGTTCCTGATAAGGAAGGAAGTTGTTGAAAGGTGTTGGTAATTAGCTTTTCAGATACAGTGGATTATGCCATCTCTGTTTGGCTTTTTTTCTTTAATACAACTTACTTTGAGTTTCTCATTTTCAGGATCAACTGCATCAACTTGGTAAATGCGTTCTGGATGTGTTCCTTCCAACACATAGATCATTAGAGCTGCATGGATATAATTGTACTTAGTGTTAGTTGGGTAGGAATAAAGGACCCAGCAGAAAACAAACTGATGCAATGGAGCTGTCTGGAGGTATTACTGCTTGCTGCATGTTCTCACTTCACAAGTGTAGTTCCAAAATCATCACAAATATCACAAACACTCAAAAGATAAAAAGAAACCAATTACACATCCGTAAACAGGTAACCATCACTGCAAACTGTGAACTGCAAACTGCAACATGAATTGTGCCTTCAGGGGAAAGACTGATCTTTCCATATGGCCTATCTTGAGCTGTTCACAAGTTATGGAGTAAAACTATGCATTTGGACTACATCTGTGTCTTTCTTTACCATTCAGATGGGGACAACACAGTTCTGTGCTATGTCGTCATCACCATCCCCTTCCCAAGGCACATCCTGTGCCTAGCCAGGAGAACTCAGAGCTTTTTCTCTTCATTTCTGTTTTTCCTTTATACCTATGAAGTAAATAGTGGATGGTCTGCACTGACTTAAATGTTTGCTTTACTAAGGTTGCTAATTCAGTGTAAGGTGTATTTCTTTCCATAGCAGGGATTCTCACAGCTGGGCTATCCCATACTGGACCACTGGCAAGAGGCTTATCTCTCCTTGGGTACAGCAATTAACAGGACAACAGATCTTTAGATCATATTATTTGCTTTATGGCTTTTTGTGTCTGCTGGACCTGCTCTTTCTGGACTATTAATTTCCACTGTGACCCCTACTGATTGCTGCTTCTCATCAGAGCAGTAGGAAACCCAGAGCAGCATAATGAGTTGTTCCCAGAGGACAACAATATGAATATAAAGTTTAATGAGAGGAAGATACTTTTTCATAAACAGCGAATGCGCAATTAGTGTCTAATTGTAGCTGGTACTGTTAACTAAAGCCACACAGTCAGACAGATCAGACATCTGTGCTCACCAATTTATGGCAGCTCTAGCTGAGAGTTAGGCTGATGCACTTATTTGTAACAAGCTCCCACGTAGTGTGTTTCATGCTGTGTCGATCCCCTGAAGTGTCACATTTAATTATTATTAGATTCCAGCAGCACCCATGATATGTAAGACACCAGCTATACTGAGAAGATGACACAGTCTCTTCCCTAAGGGAAGCTAATTTGCTTTACAAACTAAGTATTGTATGGAATCAGGAATGTCAAAGTGCTTGGGAGGCATCAGTGAAGCAGCTGAATCTGAGCAGGCCGGTCAGAACTGGAGAGCTGCAGCCCACATTATTCTGCTGCCAGTCCAGATCTGGGGAGACAGTAGCCAGCTTTGAACACCTATCACAAAGGGATCACAGTTTAACATTTTCAGACTTTTTAAAGACTGAGTACTGAAGTGTGCTCTGCCATACAGTGATGTTAGAATATAAAGTCTTCAAACAGGCTCTCCGTACATCATGAAATTATCTGAACTGTTCTGTCTGCATGCAAACACATAATAAATACATCACCATATTCTGCTGCCTGTGGTACAGTTTTTCCAGGTTCCTCTCATTAGTAAATGAGAAAGAGTCGTTCAGGGAGTAAGACAATTATTTCCTATCCATTTGGGGGAGTTGCCACTTGCATTAGGTACCATGGTATGCCCAGTCTGCGCTGGCCACAGATGGGTCCAGACCCTTCAGCCTCATTCCTAAGGCTACTACGTATTCCTTCCCCCTCTTGAACTTTTGCCCATGGTCTAAAAGTAAACGTGGTTAACATCTTCCGCCCCACACAGGAGATAGAACTCTCCACCTCTTTCCATTTGCACCATCATAGATCACTATCACTGAGATCTCACTCTTCAAACTGATATTCCACTTCATTTCTCATGTGCAGGTGCAAATGCAACATACAGATGTAAAACATCCACAAAGCAATATTTTGTCATTTTCCTCAGAAATTCATGCACACGCAACATACACTTATTTAAATTTATCTGGCTTGCCCAAATCAGCCCAAGGTTCAACAAACTACTGAAACATCTACCCATATTCAGGGGTTATATCCCCACCAAACTTCAAGTCTCGAATGTGTACTTCTAGGTAGGTATTAATATAACAAAAAAAGAACATATTTATTTATTGGTATAAATTATTTTTTCTTTTAATTTTTCAGGTACTTCAAAATTATTAAATAATTTTTGGTCAAAGCTTCAAGAAAAATAAAAGGGCATTTTCAGCAATGAAGAACACCAAATACTTGTGTTAAAAATAAAGCTGTGATAAAAACCATGTCCTGTTCCTCCCTCATTTTTGTAAAGGAAAATTCTTAGACTGCTTTAACTACGGGTACTGTATGCAGCTATAGCTTTTTTAAAGCTGATGTCATCTTTTCAAATGTAGTTCTTTTCAAATACTACCATTATCTTACTTTGAATTGCCACATTTCCTCTAAATACAGGATGTTCATTTTTATCTGTTACTCGAATAGTCAATATGTTCAGGTCAGTTCTTCCAGTTGTATCTTCAACGAAAATCTGTAAATCAAAGCTCTTTGGCATTGTTTCATAATCTAGGACAGGGTTTCCAGTAGTAACAACCTGAAAATAAAAGATTATCATTATCATGTGATGCAAGAGATATAAGTTATAGTCAAGATGAGTGAATAAAGTGAAGGGACACTTTCAATCAGTGAGTATTTCAGATCACCTTCTACTTGCTGGCACACTTCTTGTCAGTGGTAAAAATGTGACAAAAACAGATCGGAGAAAGTGACCAAATTATTTTGGCTTCATGGAGCAACTCAATGATCTTTTGTGTGAGGACCAGTTTGAGGAGGAGAAAGCCTGGAAAGAGCTGTCCTGCCTCACAGGCAATGCTTTTCCTTCAAGGTCAAGATTACATTTTGCCCCTGTAACCTGTTTCTGGGAGAAAACCTTTTCTTGCAGGAAACCACAGAAAGAAGGGAGCTGCACAAGTACAGTGCCTGAGAGAGAGACCAGAACTGTCTGGTGAAAATGCTGAACTAATTAAAAAGTAATCCAGGCCTTGAGTTTTGCAAGACTGGTAAGGCAAACATTTCCTTTGGTTTGGGTTTGTTTTTTTCTTTTTTCAAGGATTCCAGTTCTGCATATTTCCTCTTAACACAGAATATGTACAAACATAAGACTGACATTCCATGAAAAAAACATTAAATGCATTCATTTTGGATTTTGGATGAGTCCAGAGCAACAGCCAGATGCTGAAAGTTGTATGTTTCAAACTTCACTGCTGAAATTAATAAAACCCCAAGAACTTTCCTTTCTTGTACAATAAAGGAAAAGGCAACTGTTCAGTTTACTGTGTAGCTAAAAAGCTGTGAAGCCTGAACACAGTAGCAGAATGCTGTGGAACTGGAGAAGGAGGACAGTTGGGCCTTGCAAGTGTATGTGACAAGGAGAGTGTCTCTATTCACAATGCTCCAGCATAAAGAAGGCTGGAGAAGATGCAGAAGGACAACAATGAAATAAATCCTTGAGTTTAGATTAGATGCTGTGGCCAGAGTTCAAATACAAAAGTGATGCCCTTTTTGCGTAGTTTGAAGATGGAAGCCAAAATAGAGCCAATTAACAAAAAGGAGAGTGAACAGAATCACAAATGTTTAGTGCCTTCTGGTATGTAAAACAGCTGCTGTCTGGAACCTTGTCTATCTTTTTGTTATAATACTGCAGGAGAAAATAACTGTGTCCTGGATGGTCTCCTTTCCTCCTATATTATACAGATAGAAGTTTGATGCTAACTCAGAAAAACCATGCTATGAAAGTTTGTCACCCCAGTGGAAAGGTTGCTCTCCAAAATGAATGTTAGTTGGAGATCTAAACACAGTAATCAGATGCAATGAATTCAAAATAAGAAACTGTCCTATTCTAAGCAGAAGTTATGTGCTCTGGAGATTATCCCTCCAGTTCACAGCCAAATATTTTCAGTGATGTTGTAACCACAGCCAGACTAAATGTGTCTAAATATACATCTTACACTCTCCTTTATAGAGACCTTGGAAGTGAAGATGTGACTCTAGATGATTTCACTCTAGGTTACTTTTGAACCTTTTCGAGAAGAGCTTGCCACTGACATCAGCTGAGAGCCACTATTCACCTTTATTACAGGCAGAACCAATGCTTACTGAAAAAGGCAGGACTGTACACACTTGAAGCAGGTGCAGATTTTGTGAAAGGGGGTTTAGAGTCACCCCTTAACTGTCTACCTCTCATTCCACTTGAGAATTTCATGACTCCCTGCTTCCCCCTTAACCTCCAAGATATTCAGAGAACATCACTAACAGCACCCAGGTAGTTTCAGACAGAAGAGTGTTATCATGCATTCAACGCGTCTCACCCTTGGGAACCTTAAAAAAAGAGTAGGACGAGGTGGAATGGGCAGGGCTTAGATCTCAGAAACTATGACTTTCTCAGAAATTTCAAAACATATCAAGAAATGTGATATTACTTTGTCTTGCAGCAACCAGAGTAAATGTGTTTCATAAATACATAAAAGCCTGTCCTAGCAGGTACTTAGCTAATCTGAAAACCCCATAATTCATACATGAAACATTGTCTTTTTCTATATCTTAGCAAAGATCTAATAGCAGTAGGTAGAGCTGAGATATCTCAATTAGGATTATATCACTTTTGTAATATATTGAACAGATCTTCTACAACATAGCATAAGTAATTAAAAGCAGTGATGCTCATGAAATAAATGAACTAAGAACACCCATGTATTTGTCCTTGCTTTATGAGTGGCAATTGGTACTCATCTGCTTATTTGTAGAATTTGTATGTAGCTTACTTTATGATTTTCTCATGACTGATATTCACTGACTCAGCTTCTCTGTTCTAGTCCTCTGAGTGAGTTAGGGAACCTTGAAAACAGCAATGGTTCAAGCAAAACATACAAAGATTCACAGGCCACTCTGGTAATGGGGCTGTGGTATGAAATGAATATAAACTGACACTTTGGAAGAAGCAGTCTCCAGCCTATAACTTTTTTGGCCATTCATTTTACTCCTTGTGTCACTCTGAACTTGCTACAACAAGAATTTCTCCATCATCCTTGCCATGACAAAAAACCAAGAAAAAAAGTACTTTCAGGCACATGGTGTGATTCTTGGGGTGCAGGGCCAGGGGTTGAACTCGATGATTCTGATGAGTTTCTTCCTACTCAGTGTGTTCTACGACTCTATGATTCCATGATCTCTGCAGCTGACCCAGTCCAGGTGTTTGTCCAGCCACACCCTATGCTTCACAGGTGAAAGAGGGCTTTTTTGAAAGTTTTATTAACCATTTCACTGGCCTGGCCAGGAGCAGTAAAGAACCAGCAGAGCTGGCACAATTGAGCTTTGTACTTTGCTAGGAGGTGGGACCGTGGGAGCACATGAGCTGCAGCAGCTCCCCTCAGGTAGGTCAAGTCAATGAGCCACAACTGCCCAGGGCCACAGTCTTACTTTCTCCAATTTTTTTCCCAGAAGCATCAGCAAAGAGAACAAGAAAAGAGCCCTTGTAGCCCTTCCGTGAAAATCTGAAATTGGAAATACCCAGAAAAGGGTATTTAAGATGCTTCTTAGTTTCTATCTGTATCTTTTAAAGGTGCTCTTCAGTGTCACTGTTCAGTCTCAGACAGAGAAGCAAGTTACAATGGGATGACAAGTTGTCATGTGTCTGAACACTCATTGCCAGTGACAAATGTGAGCTAATACTTGCTAATTTATCCAATAAGGAAAAGTAGCCTGAAGTAATAGAAGTTGCTTTGCATTTGCCACAGGACAAAAGCATGCATAGAAATACATCGCAGATGGGCAGAAAGCTGATAGCTTCTTACCTCAAGATAACTTCCTCATGTGCCACAGCCTTTGTTCAGAATTAAAAATTACTTTGATCTGACTCAGCTTCCTTTATTTTGGAAGTGAGTCAAATTAATTAATTCTAGGTGAGAGTGGCCAAACAGAAGCTGCATGTGGTTTAGCTAAACCACTTCAAATTCACAGTGATTTCATGTAAATTAAGTTGAAAAACTATGGACAAATCCTCAGAACAGAAGGAGGGTTCTACCTGTTCTTCTTCACCTCTTATTTTCTAAAACTCACTTTTTTTTTATCAGAGAATTAGTGGAATTATTGCAATGAGTGATTTTTTGAAGATGCAATTAAAAATTGTATTCTCTGTTGCTATTCATTTGTCATACCTATTACAGCATATCGAAATACTACCACATCTGCATTTACAACTCTTTTCTGATTAAAAGATGAGATACTGTGCACTCTCAGTGCTCAGCAATCCAGGAAACGTCAGCGTACATGACTGAACATTGCTCAAGCTAAATGTGAAACTCACCCTGTATTCAAGACCTCCTTTTGATTCAATATCAAAAGCCTCTGTAAGTGGATTTGAATTTACTATGGTAGGAAGAATTGCAACACCTTCAGAAGACGATGGAGAAACAGTTACATTGAAGTCATAGACTGAAACACCAGCTGCTGTGTTTTCTTCAACAGTGCTTGTTGCAGGTAAGCCCTTAAGCAACTGAGTTTTTCTTCCTGCAAGATGAAAATAAATGCAAAATTAGTTCTGGAAATCTTGGGCTAGCAGGAGTACAGAGCTTTTTCTAAGAGCTGCTATTTTAGCACAAAATGGTCTGATTCCCTTTTTGCTTATAAACAGGGGTATGCATGGTGGTAAATCTAGTGCTAATGTAAAAGAATCAATCTTTAATTCAGTCCTATAGCATTGTCATCTAGAGTGGCTGTTTTCAGTGTGTTATTGTTACTGCATTGTTTGCCTTTGTGTATGTCTTTATATAGAAGCAAAGAAACCAAGGACGTTTCTATCATTTCATTTTGCACCCTGTACTAATTGCTGCCTCTGTTCACTGTCACATCAAAAAGCACATAAAATCACACAGACCAGGATGTCAAGGAAACATTTTTTGTGAAATACACTGTCTGCAGCACCGTTTTCCTCCATTTTCCCTCTTCTAATTCTTTCTAGGACAGCTTTGTGCATGCCTGGCTTGTGAGTAGTGTGAGTTCGCAACAACTTTGGGTGTCGTGCTGTCGTGTCTCCTGCTTTGGGCATGGAATAGCAGCCTGGAGTCCTTGGAGGAGATGTGGACCCACAAAAGCACCCTATGGTTCAAAACTGCCTTGAAGCAGCACATACTGGTGAGGCATCCAACAGCATGTCAGTCAGATCTCTGGAGTCCCCAAACCAAACCTTTTGCTTTCTCTGTTGTTTAACTTCTAGTTTTTGTTATTTTTGACAAAGGCCTGTTGTGATTTATCTCATGAAGAGTGTCTAGAAAACAGAAATCTTGACAGCTTTTAAGGCATGTCCCCAAACAACTTCTTAGTAATTTCACATCCTCAAACTGGCAATGTGTCTCAACATGAGACTATGGCAGGGCTGACTGTTGCTTGGGGATGCTTCACTGGCTCATCCAAAACACTCTCCAGGAAAGCTGGCTGCATTCAGTTGAACACACACTGTGTGCCAAAAGAAAGGCAGGTACTGCTCACTCAGGGGCTGGTACAGACCTTTCATATACCAGCAATTACTGTAGCAAAAGCTCCAGGAAGTCTTTATTTTTGCTACACAGTTGCAAGGTAAAAAGCTGCTGTGGGAAATAGTCTGAGGCCATTAGAGAGGCAGCCTCTCCACAGCTGCATGGGGATTCCCATGCTCCCACACTCCAGATACAGCAGCTCCATGGATCACTGATCTGGCTGGGATTACTCTGGCATTTATGGAAAAAAAAGTCCTTGGAGATACTCTGCAGGTGGGTGAGGTACAGGCTGGGATGTGGGAGACACTGAGGTGGGAAGACTGTAAGGGTCTGCCTGTAAGAGTTAATCTGAACAAGTCATGCTGGCACTGATAGGACCTAGTTCAGCTGAGCTATTACCGATTTATGTGTGAAGGACTAAGTTTTTATTACTGATCTTACAGATTCTGGAAAACATCATTGATGAAAAATCACCCTTGCAAACAAGGCTGGGCTGAGAGGGGCTTCTGGGAATACATTTCCGTAAGTGGAGCCGAACTTTGAATATTATCTCCTGGGACAGTACCTGATGAATCCAGTTCCCTCATCAAGCCACAATTCATTAATGGAAACCATTTATAAAAACAATGAAATAATTTGCTACATTTAGAAATGTAGAAAGGAGTCGCTATTTTTATATTGTCTCTAAAGACTTTGTTGGCTGTTTATTCCAGATCTGTCTTTCTAAATCACAAGTTCTTATTTCTTGATCCTTATTTTTAACTGAAATTTTTGGTACTGCATCTAAATGACTTCTTCTTTTTTCAACTGATTTTACAAAAACCCTCCTTCCATATTCCCAAGCCTTTTCTTACCTCTTTACTTTGCAGAACAAAATGTGCTTGAAGCAATTTAATACATTATTTATCATAATTACCAGTGTGAAACATTGACAAATGCTGAGTCTAAGACAAAGCAATAATGAGATTAGCTTTGAGAAGTTTATAAATATATGTCTTATTTATCTGTGACTTGTTAGTCTTTACAATGTTCTTGAGTCACACCTTGTCTCTCCACAACCATACAGGTGAGAAAAAGGAAAGCTGAGATTCTCATGCAATGTCTGCATCACAGCTTTGGGGATATCAGAAAAACAAACAATGACAGGTTCCTGAGGGATGGCAGAACTCTTTCAGTTCCTCAAGAGCAAAGTGAGCAGGTAGCAACATCCCTGCTCCGTGAGCCACACAGACTGCGGTTGGAAGATCTACTTTAAGTTGCTAAAGTGCACATATTCGTATTGGCAAATGTTCCATGCATTTACACTGAACAAGGACAGTGACATTATCTTTCTAACATTCTCCACAAGTTTTTTCTTCTCTTTGGTCTTATTAGGTTGCTTGTTTTACTTTGTCAAAGAGAAATATTATCAATATTTGAAAGGAGGATACTGGACTATTAAAACTACTTATATTTTCTTGGAGAGCTGACCTCCTTTCCCACTCCAATGCTGTCACACTAGCAGTGACTATTACCCATGAAGTGCCTCATTCAACAAAGTGTCTTAGTAAAGAGTCATATTCTCTTTATTATACTGATGTAACCACATAGCTCAATCTATTTCAGTAGGAAAATAATTGTTACTTGATTTTTCCCATCCATGTCTGATCCCTAAATATGTATTATAAAGCTCCCAAGAGAAAGTATAACAGCCAACAGTGTTCTAATTTTAGCACATAATGAAATCATGTTCTTACCAGATACTACTCCCAGCAAAATGAGGAAAAGGAGAATGCTCTTCATTGTCTTTACTACCCTCTCCTTTGTGTTCCCAGGATGCAAACTGAAGGAAGATCATGGTATGTTTTCCCTAGTTTACATCGGCTCCACCTAAATTATTCCTCTTTGTCACGTTGTGCAGTGAGAAGTGAAACAAAGGACCCGTGTCTCTAAGGGAGTTTCCAAACACTGTCAGCTTGTTTGCTACTTGTTTGCAACAAGGAACTGCTCCTTGTTGGCACTTCATCCACAGACCTGGTCTGCACTTGGGAAAACAATCATTAATTGTCCTTTCACTGCAATCATCTTATTCAATGAAGCATTATGAAGATAATCTAATATGTTCTAAATCTGGAAATACCATGCTGCTTTCGCCACTCTGGCAATGAGCATTTGACCAGAGTCAAATACTCATGGTTTTTTTTTGATGAAGTCTGTATATGATGCAGCTTTGCTGTGGCTGTCTCAGGAACAGCCTGGACCCCTGAACAAAGTGCACTGGTTCCCTAGATTAGGCATTTAGCTCCCTAGCCCATAGTACACCCATACAACCTTTCTGGTTTTTAATTTAACTAAGGGCAGTCCTAGTGTTTTTTCATGGAGCATAGTACAGGGTTGACACTAATACTGAAACTGGATGCAATATAGGTGCATTAGAATTGACTTATAGAATAATTTAGCCTGGAAGGGACCTCTATAGGTCATCTACTCAAACATCCTGCTCAGGTTTAATTAGATCAGATTGCTCAGGGATTCCTCTAGTTGGTACTCAAACACCTCCACACAAACTTAACAGCTCTGCTAAGTGGTAGAATTTTGTGATTCGGGTTTAACACTGCTGTGGATAAACCTGCCTTACCTGTGAGCTAAGCTAGCATTGCTAGATGGTTCTGCATGACCTTCTGTGGCTGTCCCACTGAAAGCTGTCAGTAGTTCGGAAAGCTCTGTCCCATGCTCCTGTGTTTTGTGTAGCATGAGCATGTTAATTGAACATGCTGAACATGAGCAGCCAGTTTAATGCTGGGCCAGGCATTGCCTATGCTTGTTGCATTTGCATCTTAAACTATGGTTTCATACACATATGTGCCCTGGAGAATTCTGCTGATATAATGAAACTAGAAAAGATGCATCAGTACGACCTACTGAGTGGAACTGAGCCATATCTACTTATCTGATAATGATTGCATGAGAAATATTCATTTGGTGGCTAATCTGCATCTAGTTTTTTTGGCCTTGTGATGCAGCCTGGGTTTAAAGTGGATGTGGCCACAGGATATCATCTGAGAACACACACTGCATCGACCTGCAGTACTGAGGAAGCTAATCTTCCACTGCCCCAGGAAAAGTGTGCCTAGACTTTATGTTATTTAAAAAGTATGTAGAAAACCTCACCCTCAAGTGGCCTAACTATGCTGATAATAATGTAAATGTATTTATTTGGGCAAAAAGTCTAACCTGTCCTTTTACCTACCAGATCTTTGCCCATCCTGTCATATGTGTTTCCTGTGTTCACAAAGAAGCTTTTGAAGTGACTGGACATCTCACAAAGATGAGGTCTCTGTGCACAGGCATGAACCAGGCCTGTACAGTGTGATGTATTATACAATGATCTTTTACCTGTTACCAGAACACTAAAACTGCTGCTAGCTTTATTCCCTCCTCTTAGTTGCAATGTATAATCAACCTATGCCACTATAAGGTTGTATTGGAAAAGATATAGAAACATGTGGGAAAAGTTTTAAAGTCTTTCAGACATGTGTCTAAACTTGTTTAGTATCTACTTTGAGTGATAGGACTGATTCCATCCTATGTTCTGAAAAGCCAAGCCATCTCCAGAACTCAGAGGTCACAATTTTTATGCTTTATTTTCTTCCTCTTACTGTTTATGCTGGGGTTTGGGGCTGGAGGGAGGAATTGCTTTTGGTGTGGCTTGAGGTGGGTTTTTTTCTATAAATACATTTTCCAGCTTCTTTGTTTTGTCCTCCCCTCCTCTGAGAACATACATAGATCTACTTTCAGCAAGGGTTCAGTGTCTATATACATAAATCAGACTTTCCTCTGCACATTTCATGATACAGACACTATAGAGGGATAGGGGAGACATGGATGGGAAAGGCACCTGGAATACACATGTGCTTGAAATGCTAGCCTTTCCCCAGCTTAACCTGGAAGTGGAATAGGTAATTGTTTCAGGTGCTATGTGAATACCCATGGAGTAGTTAATTTCTGCTTTCTCTCTAAATAGATCTCCAGGGCTTCCAAGTAGTTGCTGTTAATCCTCATGGTTCAAGTATGTTGTGAGAAGAGACTATAAAAGGTGACCAGGGAGATGAGGGGAGAGCCAAGTGTAGCACATAGGAATGAGGAAGGAGAATGTGGAATAAGTGTGAGCAGAAGGGGCTCTGGTTCATTCTTCTTCCTTGAGTCACTGCCAGTATCTCTCAGGACCTCCTTAGGCCCCTCTTTTCTGAGTAGGTTTCTGTGATTTTCTGATTCAACCTGCCAGGTTGAGAGACATGAAGTGAAAGAGCAGCCAGGATTAAAAGAGAGCCCAGAGCAGGATAAAAATCATGTAGAAGTAAGTATACAAGCTGGTTAGGAACAGATGAATCAGGAAAAGGTAAGCAAGGCAGAAGTTCCCTGGCAAGAGTGGCAACAGAAGCTCTTACGCTGCAAGAGTCAGGATTGAGATTCCTGGAAATATAAAGCAATTAGATGAAGAGAGGTCAAGGCAACACAAGCAAGAATACAACCAGGGAGTTTGCAGGCAAAAGAGAGGGAGGAAAAGTTAATTGGAGCAAATGAAAAGGTCAAGCTAAAAATGGGGTTTTAGTAATTCTTTGGTTTTCAAGATTATTTGAAATCTGGACATTTTAAAGCAGTGCAGAAAACATTCACCTCTGAAAAAATGTCTTCTGGATTATCAGGTAAATGGAGAATACAAGGAAGATGCTATATCTTTCAAGAATTCAAAGAATCCTGGTTCCAAGGGAAAGACCAGTAGATTGGAGTATGAGAGACTGCACTGTCTTAGACTTTGATGCCAAGGGAAAGAACACAGAAAGTGAGGGCTATCAGGTGGGAAAGAGCAGAACTTGATGTACAAGCTTCCAAATGCCTGTCCTCAAAAAAGTGAGGGGTTTCAACAAAAACCAGCAGAGAAGTAGTCTACTTGTATAACAAAATGTGCAGGATAACAACATTCATCGTATTTCTATGCACTTAATTCTCAATTACCTTCCACCCTGTCAACATGAAGGAAATGTTCTCTCACTTTTCAAACATATCTGAGGTTTAGGACATAATTTTCCCATTAATGCTATTTCAGCCAGAGCAGTGGCTCTCTTGTCCTTAGCCAGCTCATGGGAAAGGAGACATTTTGCTCTTAGTCTGGTAATTACTCACAAAAAACTGAGCAGCCTAAGAAGAATTTTCATACACCTGCTCCAACCTCAGTTTATGAGTATTTATTCTTGTTATTGCATAAATTAAATTACTGAGACTATCAGGTTTTATTTTCATCTCCTTTCTCATTAAACAGTATAGCTTCTCCATTCACTGCCTTGGTAACATTTCCTAAAAAATTAAAACAGTACCTTATCATCCTACACCAAAACCTTATGCACCATTTCCTCTGATTTCTCAGCTAAAAGCTTCTTCTGTGCCATTTGTGAATGACAAGAACAAACTAAAAGTCATTGAGTACTATCCATGCTACCTTAATTTCACCTAAAGTGACTCCAGCCTAGCAAGGTCAGTAATCCATACAATTACAAAAAAAGGTCCCAGGCAGACATCTTTCTAACATTGACTTGTAGACATGTAAACCCACCAGTCACTCCCTTGATAATTAACCTGAGATGTTTGTTAACAAGAAGCGATTCCATCACACCAAGTGGTTTTTTGGGGATCCAGATTTAACTAAAGAACAGCCTAAAATCTGGGTGAGTACACATAGAAGGCTAAAAATGATGCTGTTGTCAGCGTCGAAAACAAGTTCTCCCACTGTTCCACCAGTTATACATCCAAGGGATGAAAGCATTTGCCAGAGAAGAAGGAATCCTGAGAGTCTGTCTTTTGCAACCAAGAATTTGAGCACTTATTTTAGGAGCACTGGGAGTATGTAAGGCATTAAGTTAGCAGAGATTGTTCTGATTCTTCCTATTCTCTCTGCTCCATCTTGACAAATGCGAACTGAGGCAGACAGATGATTACAAGGATATGAATTCAAGAAAACTCCAGAGGTACTTGAATCCTCCCTACAAAGAAGTCAATTGACTTTAACAAGGCCACACAGAAAGTCCAGAAAAGCCAAAGTTCTTGGTCCCACTCCCAATCTCAATCATGATGACTGTAAGACACCACGACTGTAAAAAGCACATTGGTTGACAAATATTTTTCTCTTTGCGAAGTTCTTGTGTTGGTAAAAAATATTACATTTTCTTCTGCCTTAAGAAAAACATGAATGTCAATGACAAGTTTCAGTATTCATTCAGCTGAGCAAAGTAGATGCTATCAGCAACTACTTTGTGTTTTGTGCTTCAAGATCAAAAACATGTGGTGGCGTGGAACATTCAGTGCCTGAAAGAAATTATGTCCCTCGTCCACACCCGACAGGTGAATTTTAATCAGGCGATTTGTCTTCCAAAGCAAGTTCTAATGCCAGTAAACATTCAGTGAAAAATGTGTTGAGACCAATGAAGTCTTCTTTCTGTGTTTACTGTTTACTGGATCAGGGCCTGAACCCATGCAATGATTCTTTGTATCTCATGATAGAGCATTTACTGCATATTACACGTTTGTCTGTTATTGCAATTGCTTTGCCACCCGAGCTGTTTGGTAAATACATATACAAGGATGTGAAGTACCAAAAGATGCAAATGCAACAAGAAAGAATGCTCTGGGTAAATATAGGTACACAAACTGAGGTTTCTATGTACACAGTGTGATGCATTTCACTTAGTCAAGTATTATATTATATCATCAAGAACTCCTTCAACAGGCTTTTGCACCACAAAACATACTATATCATCCCTATTTTTGTCAGCAAAAGGGATTTGATTATTTTTGCAAGAGCAACCTTGCATTTTAGCACAAGTAAAATATCTTCTGTTGACTTTGCAAAAACAACCCACCGAAGAATGTGCAACTAAAAGAAAAGAGCATGGTTGGGCACAGGCTGAGGGTTCAGGTGGTGGAGTTCACACAGAAGGGGACAGGGTTTTAAGTGTGAGTAATACCATTCTTTGAACAGAAGGAGTGAGA